CCCGCACCCCGGGGGAGCTCCTGGAGAACCTCGTCGAGTCCCGCCAGGCCAACACGGGTGCGCAGCCGGGAGGGCGGGGGGACACGGGACAAGAGGGGGAAGTGTGTCCCGCGGAGCTTCCGCACTGAGGCCAGCCGCCCCTCCTCTCGCCCAGGCCTCTTCAACCTGCGCCAGATTGTCCTGGCCAAGGTGGACCAGGCGCTGCACACGCAGACCGACGCAGACCCTGCTGAGGAGTACGCCCGGCTCTCCCAGGAGATCCTCGGGGTTCCAGCCACGCCAGGTGAGGCCTGCCAGCTGCGCTGCAGAGGTCCTGGACACCCGTGTGCTCTGGGGCAGCTCCTCGGGGCTTCCTTGGCCACCAGGACCAGGTGCCTTTGCGTGGAGTGGATGGAGCAGGGGCGCTGCTCAGCACCCGCAGGGCACAGGACAGCCCACGGAGGTGAGCTGGCCCCGTGTCCACAGCACAGGGCATTGCATGCCTTCTGCCCCTCGCTCTGCTGGGCTCTGCCCACGCTGGCTGGGCTTGGAGCGCAGGTGCCAGTGTGCACCTCCTGGGCCTTGGGCCTGCACCCTACATGAGGCTGGCTGAGCACTGCCCGTGGGGGGCACAGACTGGCCCCCAGCTGTGGTGAGGGCAGCCGGGGACGTGGAGACCTGTGACGCAGGTTCTAAGGTAGTGTCCGTGTCCCCGTCCCCACTCGGGCTCATGTGAACGGGTGAGTGAAGATACCGGGGTTGCAGAACATGTCGGGGTCTATTGGGTTAGATTGACCTTTCTTAAGACCTTCCAAAGGACCCGAAGCCATCCATGTCTCGCCATGGAGGTGTGTCCTGGCAGCCAGCGTGGGGGCGAGTGCCCTTGTCCTTCTGTGGGGAGTGGGCAGGGGGCAGCCCCTTCGGCCAAGTGACATGGCCCTGCTGTCGCCCTCCACCCTGCACTGGATGGGGCCTCTGAAGAGGCCGTGCTGACCTGGCTCCTGGGGCTGAGGCTCGCAGGTGGAGGCCGCAGTCTGAGCCTGGCTGTCTCCACCCCAGGGACCAACATGCCTGCAACCTTCGGCCACCTGGCGGGAGGCTACGACGCTCAGTACTACGGCTACTTGTGGAGCGAGGTGTACTCCATGGACATGTTCCACACCCGCTTCAAGCAGGAGGGCGTGCTCAGCAGCAAGGTGCAGTGGAGCGCGGGAGGGGGGTCCCGGGGGTCCCGAAGGCGGGCGAGGACCCGGCCAGAGAGCTTGCGAAGGGTGCTGGCGGAATGGCCAGGTGTGAGGCCTCGCATCCAGGACTACGCCGGGTCCTCAGCCCATGCCCCCGGCCGAGTGCCCGCGGCCTGCCCTCTGCCTCGGGCCCGCTAGCCAGGGTGCGTTATCTCCGGGTGCAGGGGCGCCCACCGCCAGGTCCAGGTACTCCTCACCGGGGCACCTGCTGTGGCCTTTACACCTCATTTCCTCCCTATGGAGTAGGGGTGGCGACGCCCACCATGAACTCACGCCTCTGCCGCTTAGTAGCATCCCGGTGTCCTGCAGGACACCGTGGGTCAGCTGGACTGGGCTTGGGGTTGGGGTTCGCGTCGGTGTCAGTGCTGGGGGCTGCAGTTGCTGCAGCTGCTCCCTTAGAGCGGCAGGAAGGCAAGCCCTGGAGGGACAGTCAGAAGCCCACTGCCTTCCAGGGCGCCCAGAGAGCCTGGCCTCGGCTGTCCCCTCCATGGCGGGGCTCCCCGACGGACACAGCCACTCGCTGGGGTCCCAGCGGGCGAGGGGAGGGGAGGGCGGGTGGACGCGGGCCCTGGACCCAGAGCCTGAGTGCTCCGTGTCCCAGCTGGGTTCAGCCATGGTGGAGGCCCAGTGCTGTTTGTGGGCTCGGCCCAGAGTGCTGGCTCCTCGGCCTGCTGGCTCCTCCTGCACACGCCTGCACACATGCACGCCCCACGGCAGCTCACGTCCCTCGGCTGATGCAGGCGACCTCAGGTCTGGGACAGGGCTGCTCTGGGGCCAGTCGGGGACCTGCAGACCCCCCGAGCCCCGCCAGCCCTGGCTGCCAGCCCAGCTGTGTCCCGGGTCCCCGCAGGTCGGCATGGACTACAGACGCTGCATCCTGGGACCGGGCGGCTCCGAGGACGCCCGCGCCATGCTGAAGCTCTTCCTGGGCCGGGACCCCAAGCAGGACGCCTTCCTCCTGAGCAAAGGGCTGCAGGTGGAGGGCAGCGAGCCGCCCACCTGCTGACGGCACTGCCAGCGCCCGCCGGACACCCCTGCCCGGGCCCACGCCCGCCGCCTGGTGCCTTACCTCCCTCCTGGACTGGGTCAGAACGGATCGGATTGCGCGGCCTCGGCACCTGGCCAGGGTGGGGCTGGACTGGTGGGGAGCGTGGGGTCCACCCCTCCCGGTCCTGGTCCAGCTTCCAGACCCCCGCCTGGTCCCAGGGTGCCCGGCGCGCATGCCCGCCCAGGGCCTCAGCTCTGTTGCACTAACACGTCCCTCCTGGGAGCCCTCGGCCCATGAGGCGGCCCTGAAATGGCCACTGCAGGAAGCAGGCCGCAAGGACAGGCCCGGCCTTGCCCTCAGGGTGGCCGGACGTGGCTGCAACCCCAGCCAGCCCTCTGGGCTGACCCGGGCCACATCGGGCGTGTCCTCCTGAGCGTCCCTACTGCCGCACCTGGGTCCCCCGGGGGGGGGGTGGCTGAGCAGCGAGGGTGCCGGGACTTGGAGCCTCGAGGGGCCTCAGGTCTGCCCACCAGGCTGGGCAGCAGGGCACTCGCCGGGACATTTCCCCTGGGAGATTCTGGGCAGGGCCACCCGGGTGTGCACAGGCAGCCCAAGGGCACCGCCTCCCGAGCCCGTGCTGACCCGAGTCTACACCCCCCCCCGCCTGCGGCTGCACTTCCCCGGTCAGCCAGTCTGGAAGTCCCGCGGGCACACAGAAATAAACCACTGGTCTGCTCTTGGCTCTCTGAGATGGTGGAGGCTGGCTCGCCTCATCCCCTCGGTGACAGACAGGGCCCTGGTGGCAGTCCCAGTCGGGGTTCGTCCCGCGCCCCTGCTGTGCACCCCGACTGCCAGCAGTGAGCACCGGCGAGGATGCGTCAGGGCCAACATTCGGGTGGGCACCCCCAGTTAGGGCACTGTGGGCGCTCCCCGCCCCGATGGCTCCGCTCCCTTGACGGCTACAGATGGCACTTTGGGCTTGGGGTCCTTTCTGGGACCTCCGCTAACCCTTCAGCATGGCCCAGGACACCTGGTTGGGCCCCTGCCCATGCCAGAGGGAGGTGGACATCCCCCGTGCACCCCAGCTGCCAGGCGCTGCGGACACCCGTGTGGGCCTGGCCAGGACCTCTGCCGTGTGCCTCCACCCCCAAGCCTGGCTGTGGCCACGGCCTGAGCTGCACCCTAGCACCCCTGGCCCGGCTCGCCATGTCTTACTCCCCCCGGCGGCCAGGGCATACTCTGGGCCAAGCTGTCTGTACCACAGGCAGAGGGCCAGGCCGGGGAGGAGGGATCCACCCCAGGGCCAGGTCACTGCGGGGTACCCAGGCTCAGGAAAGGCGAGAGCCATCCACGCCTGGATGCAGGGGCTGAGAGCCTGGGGGCCCCCTTGCTGGAGGACAGCAGGGCTGCGGCAGGCCTTCCATGGACGGGTGTGTGCTGGGCCCTCAGGACACTGCCCCCCCTCCCTGTGGGGCCGGAGTCCCCTCCCCGGGACCCACAGGTTGAGCAGAGCATCTGTGGACAGCTTTTTCTAGACTGGCGGAGCTGCCAGGGACCCAAGTTCACCCTGGATCCTGTCCTAGACCGGCGGTGTTGCCAGGGACCCAAGTTCACCCTGGATCCTGATGGGCCGCTCCTGGGCTAGGAGATGGGGTCCGGGTTCAAGTCTCCAGGTGGAGCTTCCAACCGGGCTGGGACCTGGGGGCTCCCTGGGAGACCAGCCTCACCGTGGGGCACACAGGCCACGGTCCTCTGCCAGTCACCACAGGCCGAGGCCAGGCCTAACTTCATCCCCGCCCTGGGCTCTGTGTCCCCTGGTGCCCCGTTAGCTCAGGGTCAGGGGGACCCAGCTCAGTCCCAGAAACCACCTGTGCCAACGCAGGCTGGTGTGGGCCGTCTCCTGGCACCTGCAAACCACCATGGGGGCCGGGGCCTCCCCGAGATGGAAGAAGGGTGTTACTGAACTCGAACGCAGCTTGCGAGCTGGAGGATGAGGACGGCCGGACGTTAGCCCTGGGGACCAGCAGACGGCGCAGTGGTCACGTCGCTGGATTCCCAACGTAGTTAACTACGCAGTGAGCCTGGGCAGGCGCCCCCTGGCGGGGAGCAGCCCTGGCCTCCTGCGGACCTCCCAGGAGAGGTCCCCCCAGCTCCCCTGGAGGAGCGGACCCCCAGCCCCCCGGGAGGAGCGGTCTCCCTCCCACCCCTCCCAGAGGAGAGGCCCAATCAGGAGTGCATACGTCGACACGCCGTCCAATCAGGGCCCGGGGGCGGGGCGGGCCTGCCCGGACGGCCCCG